TTTAAATTAATTTAATGGCCAATTTTAATTCCATTGACAAATGATGTAACAGCTCCAAATTCTAAAGGTGATTGTTGCTGTTCATTGGAGACCCATTTGGGGTTTTCTTGGCAGAGATAAATGGAGTGGTTTGCCATTTCCTTCTCCAGCTCATTTACAGATGACGAACTGAGGCAAATGGCATGGTGTGACTTACCCAGGGTCACAAAGCTAATAAGTGTCTGAGGCCAGATTTGAACTCAGGAAGATAAGTCTTCCTGACTCCAGCGCTAGCACTCTATCCACTTTATCACCGAGCTGCCCTCTATAAGGGATAGACTACATATAAACAATATTGCATATGCTGCGTCCATTTGATTTGCTTATCTGTTTCTCTTGGTTACAGAGGAAACCTGGGAGCTAGGAGAAGCAGATGGGATGTAAAAGAAAAGAATCAATAAAACCCCAATTATCTCCATCTTTTTAGTAAAACAGGATCTAAGTCCATCCTCTGAGAATAAGGGGTGGGCAAAGGTATTGGAGGTTTAAGAAGACCTAAGGTCTGAAAGAACTGCTGTGCTAGAGAACTAATGAGAGATGAAAAAGCAAAAAGGACCATGTTGAAGTCAAATAATATTCATCTCATGAGATCAAACCATCAGGTTCTGCATCTTCCTGCAAGAGTGCTTTGCAGTCCAGAAATATGTTTCGAGAAATTACCTAATAAAGGTAGACTAGCTGAGAAGGGTGTGAAGGCTAGAGATCTTAGGTTCATCACAGATTTAAAGCTGGAAGAGTCTTCAGAGGCCATATAAGTCCAACTTCCTTCATTTAGGGAAGAAAAAGACCTTAGAGGTCATTTAATCCAAGCCCTTTATTTTACAGATGAGGAAGCTAAGGCACAGACAAGTCAAGTGACTTTTACAAAGTCAGAGAGAGAAATGTATGTTCATATGTGTGTAATTATATATATATGTATGTGTGTATGTATGCACACTCATACACACCTTTAAATGTGTATATAGTTTTATTTGTGGGGGGAGGTGGCAGGGCCACAATTTGAACCCAAACCCTCTTGCTCTAGATCCAACATCCTATCCACCTATCTATTGCACCAGTCCTTGGAAATTTATTTTCAGAAGCACATAGGGGTTAAGCAATTTGCCCAGGGTCACACAGTTTTCGTGTTCTTTTCCTCTTAAAGATGAGTCCTAACCCCAAATCACTCTGGTCCCAGACCAAGCCCAATTTGGTCACGGTTTGGGCCTGGACTGGCTCAGAATGAATATAAATAGCAATTGTTTCTGTTTTGGCCAGAAACCCTGAAGGTCTTCCCCTCCCAGATTGATTTTTTTTTTAATTAGGTAAATGAGGCTTTCTCTGCTTCATTTCTTACCTAGCCTTAATCACTGATTGCGCATTGCCTCAGTCAAACTGAGACCTGTTAAAGACCTCAGCTTAAAAAGGCTGAAGTCTCCCACTGCATCCAGGGTCATCTCCAGTCTTCCTGATCCATATCTGGCCACTGGACCCAGATGGCTCTAGAGAAAAAAGTGAGGCTGGTGACTTTGCACAGCCCTCCCTCACTTAACAATTCACTTGTATGTCATGGCATCACCTCCCCGATGTATGATCCTCTTTGAGAATGAAGGATAAACATCAAGCAACAGTTATAAAAGTATCAGAGGCAGAATTTGAACTGGGCCTTCCTAACTCCAAGCCAGACAGCCCAGCACTTCATTCACTATGCCAGACTAAATGTATTCATAGCCTGCAATTATACTCTTTACTCTCTCAGTAAAAGGTGGCCCTTAAACCTGTCTGCCTGGGCTTCAGTCTCCTCACCTGAAAAATAAGATTTGATTAGATCAGAATTCTCCATTCTTTGTGTGGGAAGCGGATACCTTTAGTCTCCAAAAAAGTCCATGAGTGATGGAGGGAGTCATACTGAGAGAGGAAGTCCCGAAGGAGGAAATGGGTAAAGTAGATTTCAAGGTGGGGAGGTAAAGGAAAGAGAGACAAATGATTTAGACATCTACCAGGTAAAGCTTTCTGGTTCTGCTAGAAGATCCAGATCTAGTAGGTGGAGGACCCTTCAGGCAGATGATTTCAAGGGTCCTTCCAACTCTTAGAGGAGACACACTAAGAGGTTCTGATCAAGGAGTAAGAATGCTTAGTGAGTGATGGCGAAATTAGACACTGCTCCTAGGGATAACCAAGTCCAGGAGTCAAGAAGTATAACTCAAAATAATAAGCACAGAGAGTCTAATTTTCTTTTTAACTGAATTCTGAAGAGCACAGTTAGAGCAATGGTTAACCTTAGGAAGAAATGCCTCTGAAAGGACTTCTTGTTCATTTGCTTCCCTTGACACAATCTCTTTATACTACATTTTGGGCTACTGAAAAATTTCCATTTAGTGTCAACAGAAATACCTGTCATTTCCAAAAAACTTAAAACCATGGTTTTCCTTTAAAAAAAAAAGTATAAAGAAAAGTTCATAAAAGTTTACACATCAAGGTAGTCAACAATTTACAGAAGCAAAGAGGGATGAATGATCTTGGTCCAGTGAAAAGAATAGTAGCTCCAGAGTCTCTGAGGATATGGGTTCAAATCCTGCCTCTGCCTTACTACCTATATGACCTTGGTAAAGTCACTTAACCTCCCTGTACCTCAGTTTCCTCAGCTATAAAATGAGGATATTGGAATAGATCCTTCCACCCCTATATCTATGATTTAACCTTGAGGCTCTACAAATACTACCACAACAAACAGTCAGACTTTTCCAGTTCCACCCCATTCAGTATGGATGACATCTTCTGTGGCCTGTGAAAATTATTAGGTTATGTATTTCTATACTGATGGCTGGCAATCTCACCTAAAGATCCCACAACTAATTAAAGGTACATTTAATACCTTAAACCAAAGAGATAAACCATATGTTTGGAAAATGCCTTTGAAAAGTAAACTACCTAAAGAAAATAGGTGTCTTTTCTGCCACTGAACTTAAAAGACAAAACAAAATCAAGGGCTTTGCTGAATTCCCAAGTCAAGGAAATCCCCATGATTTCCAGACCCAGAAGAAAAAGTGCAATAGATTAGCACTGAACTTGGAATCCCTGAATTTGAATCCCAGCTATACCACTCAACTCTGTAGGTAACCTTGGGTAAATAAATTAACCTCTCGGGGATTTCAGTTTTCTCATGTGTGAAACAAGGGGTTTGAACAAGATGACCTCAAAGGTCTCTTCCAACTTTCCCTCCTGTGCAAAGAGTAAACCAAAGACATCTACAGGAAGAATATTTGGAAAAGGTAAAGAAAAAAAACAACATACAGTTCTGAGATTTTTTTAAAAAAACTGTCAGTAATGGAGATCACATCTAGACATAAGAACAAATCAGACAGAACATTTCATTTCAGCAAACTATCTTTTTGTGAGGATGATTTGGAATGAAAACAGAGGCCAAGTAACTAAATTTCAACTACTCATTAACCTTCAGAAACCCTCCCTAGTAATAGAAGAGCAATATAATTTAATAAATTTCCCAGACTGGGAAAAAAGTGTAATTCACAGTCTTTGAGGCAGTAAGTTCTACCACTTCCTGTGTACTTTTAGACCTAGAGAAATATCAGTTCCTACACACCCATAAAGGTGGACATTTCTCTCTGAAGATTATTCTTCATCTTGGCTCCCAAAGTGATGCAGGTTATTAAAGGTTCTGAGACCCTGAAGTCCCCAGATCAAAGTACTATCAGCATGTGTTTTTTGACAGGTCTGACAGCTGAGTGATTGATTCATGGATGTAAACAACTTAAGAGAGAATGCATCACTAAGAATCCATTAAGTCTGGATATCAAAATTTTGCCCTCCTTGAACCTGGATCAGGAAGGAGGAAGGCCAGGTAAAGGCTCTGCTGATTTTTATTTGGGGGGGGGAAGGAAGGTTGATAGGGAAGAGAAAAGGGGAAGCAAAGTGAGGGAGAGAAGAGAGGAATAGGGAGGAGAGTGTAACTTCCCAGCTGCAAGGCCGGGCATCCAGCTTTTTAGCAGTGGACACCAGGAAACACACCTCAAATTCCCCACACCCAGTTCTGTCTCCACTATCTTTCACTACGTCAACTACACCCAATGCCAAAAGCAGGACCAGCCAATCTACAGCTGTCCTGAGCACAGCTCACCTGCCGATAAGGCTCAGAACACATTCCAATTAAGATGCCCACATAGGTGTGCTGACTTCACTTCTTCACCACCTGGAGAATCCTAGCTGTTAAGAAGGAATGCACACTCAGGCTAAGCTCTGAGAGGGCTCTGGATCTGGCCGGTGGCCATGAAACCCAGAGGAAGATGAAGCCCCAGAAAGGGACAACTCCCTTTTCCAATGGGTTTGGGATGAGAAACATTTCCTCATAGGCTCATAGATTTTGAGCGAGAACGGACCTTAGAAACCATCTATCTAGTCCAACCCCCTCATTTTACAGAGAGGGAAACCGCGACCCAGTGAGTGGAAATGACTTCCCCTGGTTCACACAAATACTCAGGGACACAGCCAGAATTCGAATCCAAAGGCTCTGACTCCAAATCTAGCATAATAGGGAATTGGGTTCTTTCATCAGCATGAAAGAAAGAGTGCCCAGAAGCCTAATTCACTGGATTTCTGTCCCCTAACTTGCCAAGCCCAATACAGTTTTCTAATTGCACAAGTCTCTACCTTAAAAAAAATCCAATAAAACAAAATTGAACTTTTTCCGCCTGTGGTGTGTACCCCTCAGTGTTCACATACGGGGGGAACAAGGGAAGCAGGTGAATGAGGCAATGGGACACCTGTCCATCCAGATTTCCTAGGAGTCGGGGGAGTGGGGAGGAAAGAAGGCAACCAGGTCAGGCAGAAGGGGGCTGAGGCTGGCGGGGCTGTCCCACAACTGGGCACGCTCCCCAGGAAGCAGCCGGCAGGAGCTGCGCGCGCCTGCCCGCTCCCTGGCCTTCCCCAGGTGAGCCTGGGCGCCCTGCGCTTGGCACACTCACCTCGGGCAGCTCGCGGAGTTGGTTGGCGTCTAAGAGCAGCTCCTCCAGACTGCGGGTGTAGCGGTAGATCTCCTCCGGGACGTAGACCAGGGAGCAGTGGCGCTTATCGATGGTTTCCACATGACGGTTACACCGCCACAGGGGGATGCAGTGAAACATCGCCGCAGCACAGAAACAACAACAGCAGCAGCAGCGGCCACCGCCGCCCCGAAGCCGCCGCGGGTCCTGGGCAGCGCGCGCTTCCCGGGTCTGCTTCGCGAGTTCCTGATGCCCCCTCCGCCTACCTCACTGCTGCTGCGGCTGTTGCTCTTCCAGTGAGCCCGGGCCACGCAGGCTCTTGCCCCAGTAGTTCTCCTCCTTTCCCTCCTTCTTCGTCCTGGCTGACTAGGGGGCTGGGAGGTCAGGAAGCGCTCCCAGCAACCTCAGGCGCCTGCAGCCGGCTTCCAACCCTCCCCCCGCCCCCTGCCCCTATCCCCTCCCACTTCACCCAGCCTCCAGCCTCCAGCTCGGCTCGGCGCAAAAGCTTCCTACTTGCCCCCGAGCCGGCCCGGACTGACTGAGCATGCCCAGCTGCCGCTACCGCCAGAGGGAAAGCCACCGAGGAGTTTATTTTGCAGGCACGGGGGATCCAATAGTCCAGGTTTTACTAGTAGCCAAAAGGGGAAAGGGGTCAGGAAACTATAGGACCCCAACTCTAGATCCTCCGTATCCCCCCCGGAGTGCAGCTTTCTCACCCAGCGAAGGATGTGATTCCATTCGGAAGGCTGAGTCTGGAAGGGGCTGGGGGGCCAAAGAGACAAAGAGGATTGAGAATGGGGACCGGGGCAACTGAGGAAAGTAAACCGAGGTTGATTTGATTTCACCTATATGCTCCCTCTACCACCTCTCTGCCTCTGAAAAGTTTCTCTTCCGGGGTCAGCTACGCAGAACCAGACAAGTAGATCTTGCACACAAGTAGATCTAGCCCTGGAAAAGAATTTGTTGATTTATTCCGATTTGTATGTGCCACCGCCCTAGAAACACAGTCATCAGGACCCTTGTGCTATCACTGCAGCAAGTGCAGTTGGGTAGCCCCAGAAGTGGAAGTATAGTTAGGACCCAGAGTAGGGGGGGTCGGGAGGTAGGGGTGGACGATGGCGAATATAAGGACGTTGTTCAGCTCCCCACAATCCTCCACAGCTGTCATCTCCACTGTCGGTACCCTTACCGGGAGTTTGTTATGATCAGACAGAACCTTGATCTACCCAGGTTCTAATCCTGCTTCTCACATGGTTCTGTGTGACCCTGGGCAAGTCACTTAATCTTTCAGTGCCCCAGGCACCTCATAAAGATTAATATACAGATGATTGCACATCACCAACAGCATTGGTGGGGATAATTTTCAAAGAACGAGTTCCTTACACCGAGAAAATAGTCGATTTTTTAAATTATTTTTTCTTTCCATTAGTACCATATGAATCACCTGTAAAATCTGCTTCCCCCCCACCCCCGCCCCACGATCCTGAGCCTAAGTGTAGGTTCCCAGGGAGTACAGTGGTCATCGAGGAAAAGGAAATGAATCAGAGGATGTCTCTGGACCAGTTTTTCCCTAACTACCTGATTGCTTCATGCCTCCAATCAGAACTGGTGCTGATTGAAATGTTCTAGTAGCAGCATGGAGTCCAGGTCAACATACTAATATCTAACCACTTAATTTTCATAAAGAGTAATCTTAAACTAGAAGCCATCAGTGTTTGTTGTTAAAGCAGGAAATAAATGCAGAAAATGTTACTGTCAGTAAATCTATAAACATTCCATTCAAAAATATTTTCAAGGAACCTACAATGTGTAAACTGTTGCTTTCTATAGAGATACAAGGTTGATGTATAATGAATATTGTCTATTGTAACCATACCTATGATTGTATAAAGAGGGCAGGGTTTTCTCTACCTTCAAAGAACCTACAATCCAACAGGGGAAGTGAAAATACAAATAACTACTAAAATAGCAGATAAGTGGGTGAGATAATTAGTGCTATAACAATTGTATTTGTAATGCACTTCAGTTTTCACATTTTAACATATGTTAGGATCATAGGATTTAGGGCTGTAAAGAATTTTAGAGGTAATCTGATCCAGCCCCTTCATTTTATAGGTTAAGAAGCAGAGATCCAGAGAAATTGAGATTTGTGAGAAGCCCCGCTGGTAGCAGGCAACAGAGCCTAGTTCTCTGTTCCCAAATCCAGTGCTTTTTGATTCAGTACTCAGGACCAACCACCATGTAACATGAGCACTAAACCTCACTAAGGTTAAGTGACTAGACCAAGATCAAGAGACTAGTGAGTAGTCAGTCAAGTAGGGCTAAAACCCAGGTCTTCTGAATTCTAATCCACTACACCAGTCAGTATCTCTGCTACTAAAATGATCTGCTATACATAACTTGTGACATCTCAGAGTCTATACCATTTTCTTCAGTTGTAGCTTTAAACCCTATTCACACTGACAGTTGTTCCCCTGTTGCCTAATACACTCTATCCTCCTATTTGTCTGTTTAAATTCTCTTGATTCAAGGCTGATTTGAGGGGCTGCCTCCTCAATGGAGCCTTCCCTGTTCACCTTCTCTCTCCATAAAAAGCCCTCTCTACAAATTTTCCTAGAGCACTGTCTAAATGTCGCCTCTACCTTGTATCAAACGGATTTGTGTACTTGTATATCTATTAGATGTTCCTTAAAAGTAGGGAGAGTCATTTGTATCCTTACTGCCTATTATAATGTGCCTTGAACATAGTAGGGTTTAATACATTATTCTTGGATTGTTCATTGAATTGAATTTGTTGCCTCTTGGCCGACAAATAGGCTTGCTCTCTCTTGCTCAAAGTTAACAAAGATTGGTGAATAACTTCCTTCAGGTCCCTCCCTATTTCCATCTTGCTCCTCCTCCCCAGTCTTCCTTCACTTTCAGGTTCAACTATCCCCTGGGCTGTACCTGTTTCCCTTCTCCTTACCCTCCTCTCCCTTGCTGCTATAGCTAAAATCCGGAGATGTGGAATCCACAGGCGCTGCAATGATTATGTGACTTGGAGTTGAGCATGCTCAGTAGCCGGGGCAGATTTTGGTCACCAGAAGCTTTTGCAGCACAGCAGTGGCTCTGGACTGCTCCAAGGGGCAGTGCCACAGCTGCAAACTCTTTCCCTGTAGTCCTGGAAGCAGAAATTATGCAAAGCAACAATTTAGTTTTACCAGCCACAGTTATCACATCTCCACCTTTATTCTCTTTTTCAAGTTCTTTTCTCATGAGGAAGCAGTGGCAATATCATTGTTTCCTGAACCCGAAAAGATTCCTTTTTCCCATCTCATCCCTCTTTAAGTTTCCTGTGATTCTTAGCTATCCAATGTCAGAACACCGAGTATGCCACCTTACTCATTCTTCTCTTCCTAGTTCTTATCCTTACTCCTGGGTACTTAGACATTCATTCAAAGCTACACACAAACATCCACCAATGAAGTCATGCTTCAAACTCAAAAGTAATCAAGAATGCTATAAAAGTTCCACAGTGAGACCAGAGAAAATCTCTAGCAAATTTGGCTTTGACTTAACTGCTTTAAAAAAAAAAAAAAAAAGCACTCCCCACCCCTAACCCAACCAAGTCAGAAACTGATGAGCAAAAGATAGCAAAGTTGCACCTCTTAGCAAATACCATTAAGTGTTCTCAAGATGTGAATAGTCACTGGCCTTTTTTTAAGGTTCGAGTTTTATTGTAAAAGGTTTATGTGGTATTCCATAAATGAGTATTAATTTGAGGAAAACCCATCCTAGAGTCAGTATTATAAAAAGCTAATATGCCACATGATCACTGAGAAAGTTGTGACCATACACAAGAATCATAGGATTCTCAAACTGAATTTTCCTACCAGAAAATCATTAGAGATGCAAGAGAACTTTGAGATTATCTCATCCAAGTCTCACCTTCAAAGAAGGTAAGTGCCTCGCCCAAGGTCACACAGCAACGTATAAAACACCTATCTTTTCCCCCCTTCTCGCAGACTACAGTACAGTTGTGCAAAGGGAGGGAAAGCATAGTTAATATGAATAGGAACAAATCTAAGCCTCTTTAGAGTTAATTAGTTTCACTATACAACTGCTGACAAAGTGTCAGTTTCATCATTTCTCTCTTGGCTGTGAAGAAATGTCTGGTTCTCATCCAGTCTAGGAAAGGAAAAGAAGATTTGGAGGTAGGGGGACAGGTGGGAGGAGTAGCAATCTACCCCTGGTAATTTAGAGTTATACTGTACACTCTGCATTACAGCAGTCCTTTCTCAACTTGCCATGACTTAGAGACTCTTTCCAAAGGCTGAATACCTGCCTCCAGGTAAGGTTGCAACCCAACTGTCCAAAAGAAATGAGATCCTACCACCTGTCTTCATAATATATTTTACAGTTTAATAATCTTTTAAAATCACTTTTTAAAATTTGATTTTACAGTTTAATGATCTTTTAATTAAGAACACAAAATTTGTCTGAATTAAATCTGTTGTATTGCTATTTAAATATAAGTTCAGTTCAGAGAACCTCAGAGTTGGGAGAGACATTAGAGGCTACTAACTGGTAGCAGAACAAGAGTCCTCTCTACTACATGCCTGATGTGGTGTGCCTTTGCTTTAAGACTTCCAATGAGGGGGACATATATATCTATATCTATAGATATACATATACATATACATATTTACATGTATGTATACATATATACATAAACATACATATATATACACGTGTACATATATACAATGTGCCTATATATCCTGAGTCAGCCAATTTCAAGGATTGGGGCAGGTGGAGAGAAAGGAGACAACGTATCTAATTATTAGGAAGGTATTTTTTTCCTGTCCTTACATCAAGCCTAAATCTGCCCTTTTGCAACATTCACCCATTGATCCAATTTCATTTATTCAATGAACATTTGTTAAGCACTGAGTATATTCAAAATATTGTGCTAGTACTAGGGATACCAAACTAGCAAAAAAAAAACCAAAACACAAAGCAAGCAAAGCATTCTCTGCCCTAAAGAAGTTCACATTCCACTAGGCAGATACGGTGTTTATATTTCCATGTTTTGTCCTCATGTATACACAGAATTTAATATGTGGATCGTTCAGAGTCTCCCAATACTGTCTTCACCTTCCTCCATTCATTGCTCCCGGAAGTTGCCAAGAAGTAATGAAGGTGACCCATGAACTTCACCTGCTTTCTGCCCTTTCCTGATTGCCTGATAAAAAGACTGTTAAATGAACAAATAGACAAAGAGTCAGCAACATTATGTTTTAGTTAAAATGCATACTATCATCATTCCTACTATCCTGATTACGAGACTAGTGAAAGGAAAAGCCAACTAGACATATTAGTACCTTGTAGAAAACAAGACAGAAAAAATTAAATGGATAAAAATAAA